CGGCTTCTGGACGGCCGCTCACGGCGGCTGCTGGCCACTCATGCTGGCTGCTGACTACACACGGTAGCCCATGGCAACCCACTGCCACAGGGGCTGCAGCCTACGCCATCGCTGGCGACTCACGGCAGCCCAGCTCCAGGTTGAGCCGTTGTTCAGCATTTTAGCTGTAGAGGGCAGTGTCACTGGCCCTCATATGTGGGATCTGAACCGGGGCCCTCTGGCGTGCCAAGCCAGTTCTTAACCATCGCGCCACTTGGCCGGCCCTTCAGTTTCTTTATCATCTGAAAAGGACAGCTGGACTGGATGGCCTCGAAAATGGCTCCTTGGAACCTTGTAGTTCTAAAGTTTTTACGTATTTCTTTTCAACGAAACCCTAGTGGACTTGGTGGAAGTACTGTTTGCATAACAAGAGACGGAGATGTTCTCCTTAGGAGACTGATTTGTGTTATAGCCAACACTCAGCACTGTGCCTGGTACAGATAGGCCCTTGATAGGTGGGAAAGAAATTACAGCTCTAAGAGCCAGTAAAAGGCAGAGCAGAGAAAGGAGGAAAACAGTGAAAGGGTAGAAAAGATGTTAGTTTGTTCCAAACGGAGACAGGTGGGGGAGTAAGAAATAATTCAGAAAGAAATGGGTGGAAACACTTAACTGGACAGTCCCCTGGCTCCCTGATTAAGGCTACACTGTACTGTTTCTTTGGTTAAAAAAACTTGCTGAATGAACACTTTGAATTCTCTGCGTGTATTTACCATTTAAATTTACCAACACAAGACCTTCGGTAATATCCATCTCTCCCGAGCTTCCCTTGGGATCTGAGTGGTAACGCCACCCTTCCTTCCTCACTCTCATCCTGCATACGTGATTATCTACTGTCCTACACCCCACCCACCAGCCACGTTACAAGATCACTGCTGCAGTTGCCTGAAGTCTCACCTTCTTCTCAAAGTCGTCTACCAAGCCAGCCTTCGCAACATTGGCCTTGTAGTAAGCCCAGTCGATAGCAGGTGGATTCTCAGGTAGAGTGGCCAACCTGCTCACACGGAAAAGAAGTTAAGAGTGTTCCATGAGCAGCAGAAAATTCACACAGTAATTTCCCTGTTCCTTATTCCTATGGCCTGGAGCTATCATCACACTTTTCTCTAACAGGGAGATCACAGGAATGCAAAAAAATTACTTTCATTTGGAAAACACATGGATTTCTTTATGCTGTCAGAAGAGCATCAGAAATTTCATACGTCATTCCACAGCACTGTTTTGTTTCCACATTCAAAGTTAAGAGTCTGCCTCTCAGAAAGGTACCGACCTGGTGGTGAGGGTCTCATTCCAGGATTTCAGGGAGTTAGCAATGGCCTTCTGGTTTCGGGGTATGATCTCCCCAAAAGCCACCCAGTCAATGGTTTTTAGAGCAAGTTTTCGCCCAGCCATCTTGAGGTTCTAGAAAATAAAATAGGCCAGATAAAAACAGGGCTCTTGGAGAAAATCCTCTAAAGGTCATCTTAGAAACTTGCAAGTCTTTAAGAAATCGACCAGCATCCTCTGAGCGCTTGGTGGGTATATTTATCAACTAAAGAAATTAGAATTACTAAATCAGAAAAGGGCAGTTTAGCTTTTCAAATTCAAGGTGTGCAACCTGATATATAAATATAGTCTCTCCTCCTAAATGGTCCTCCCCCTATTTTCCAACTCCTAACTCGTCCTTAAAAGCCCAGTGTTTGTTCACGTACCTTTGGAAAAACTGCTAAAGTAACACTCTTGTATTGCATAAAAGTTAATAATTTAAATATATTTCCATTCAGATTGTGTTTTTTTGTTTTTTTTTAAAGATTTTTATTGGGTAATTGGGGGGATGGGAACAGTACCGGGGAATTAGGGGAAGGGGAACAGACAAGTTGCTGTCGTTTTTTGTTCTTCAATCTAGTTGTGGAGGACACTGCTTCACTGGCCCAAGTTGGCACCATCATTGCGCTCTTCCCAGGCGAGGCAGATCAGTCGCCGGCTTCTGGACGGCCGCTCACTGCGGCTGCTGGCCGCTCACGCTGGCTGCTGGCCGCTCACGCTGGCTGCTGGCTACACACGGTAGCCCATGGCAACCCACTGCAACAGGGGCTGCAGCCTACGCCGTCGCCAGCGACTCACGGCAGCCCAGCTCCAGGTTGAGCTGTTGTTCAGCATCTTAGCTGTAGAGGGCAGTGTCACTGGCCCTCATATGTGGGATCCGAACCGGGGCCCTCTGGCATCCCAAGCGAGTTCTTAACCATCGCGCCACTCGGCCGGCCCCAGATTGTGTTTTATTAACTGATTCGTCAGTGCACAGAACCCAAAACATACCTGAGTTTCAATAAGGATTAGTTACATAGAGCAGACTCTAGGAAAGAATTTCCTCATCTGAAAAATGGGGATAATATCAGCCCTGCTTTACACCAGAAAGCTGTTAAAAGTATCAAATGAAACGGTGCACATCAATTTGCTCTATGTCTATACAAACGTAACGGGCTCTTTACTTCGTCCCTATCAGATTGGTAATACACCTGCAATTCTGAGTCATGGCTGATTCTCTCCCTCAGCAGCAGCACATACTGAGTACATTATTACCAACACCCTTCAAAGAGGTGCTCAATACATACGCGAATGTGAGAGAAGATGGAAAGCAATTACAGCCATTTTTTAAAAAACCAAGATAGGATACAGTAAAATAGTCAACTTGAAATAAGACCAGTGCCAGACATTAGGAGAAAGGCTGAAATGTCAAAGGTCTAAGGTCTTTACAAGCTACGGGGTGGATCACAAGGGAGGTGAAAGGAATCTTCCTTAGGATCTTAAAAAGAAACTTGTCCAACACCGCCGCTTCCTTTCTCTCCCTCTCAGGGTAGCTTGTTTCCTGGAATGGAGGTGCTGGGCCGGTGACTTTTAAAGGCGCCAGAGAAACAAGCGCCCTTGCAGAGACTTTCCCAAGTACCAGTCGCAGGACTGCTTTTTATTTACTGCTGAATCCTCAGCACCTAGAAAAAGGGCATGCACATCGGAGGTGCTCAATGAATATTTTTTGAAGGGGTGCACGAACCCTGTATTTGAGCTCCGAACGCTCGAATGCTGGAACCCTCAGGAGGGAGGAGGTGGGCGCATCAAGCTAGACAATCTCCGGATAACGTTTCTCCAGCCACCAAACCGGACTACTTAAGTCGGCCGCACTGGGGACGCACTGGACGACACAAGGTTTGTGGGAGCGCCTAACTTAAAGGCGGCCCAGGTCACAGCTGGGCCCCTGCGACCTCGCGCGTGGGGGAGGGGAGAGAAGGAAGAACCGAGTAAAGCGGCAGCAGCAGCTACACCCGGGGCACTCTGTCAGTGGGGCAACCAGAGGGCCTGGAGTCCTTGACAGGGTTGCGACAAGGGTCGGCACGAGGTTTGGAGGCGAAAGAGCTGAGGAACCCACTGGCGTCGGACCCAACATCCCAAAACCCACTCACCTTCACCGACCCCGGCGGCCCACAGTTCACAGCCGCAAGTAACGGAAGCGGGTCACCGGAAGTCTGCCTTCAGCCAACCCCAAGTCCAAAGGGGCGAAACTTGCTTTGCAGGTCAGCCAATAGGAATGAAGTCTCGTTCCGGAAGTCCCGCCCCCGAGGGCGGGCACAGCGCCTCCACCTCGCGGGTACCCGAGCTCTGGTTGGGGGCGCTCCCATCCCTCTCCCCGGCCCCACCCCCGCCGATGGGCCGACCCGACTCTCCCTGCCGCGAGATGGGCCGGCCCGGCGGCGCGCGGGCAGCGGCGGCGGCGGCGGCCCAAGATGGCGGACCTGCAACTGGACCCGGCGATGGCCGGGCTGGGAGGGGGTGGCGGGAGCGGACTGGGTGATGGGGGCGGTCCTTGCCGCGGGCCCCCCAGCCCTCGCCCCGCTGGCCCTACGCCCCGCGGGCACGGTCGCTCTCCTGCTGCCGTGCAGCCGCTCGAGCCGGGTCCCGGACCGCCCGAGCGGGCAGGGGGCGGCGGCGCGGCCCGCTGGGTCCGGCTGAACGTGGGCGGCACCTACTTCGTGACCACCAGACAGACCCTAGGCCGGGAGCCCAAGTCTTTCCTCTGCCGCCTCTGCTGCCAGGAGGACCCGGAGCTGGACTCAGACAAGGTGCGCCCCGCCCTCGGGCGCGCCCCCGGCCTTTAAACCCTCTCATACACCTTAGGCTTGTCCCCCGATTCCTGTGACACGCCCCTCACGGGCTCATCGGTCCAGGGTCCCCTCCCCTTCCCCTGCCCGGCTAACAACCCCGGGAGCCATTCTCCCCCATCCTCAGGTGCATCCCTGTTTTCTCTCTGGCCCCGCCCTTAGTTTCGTTCTCAGTGACTTGTTCCCACACTGTGCCCTTCTCCGTATTCCAGCCCCTCAGATCTGCATGAGTTTTTCCCTGGCTCCGTGTCAACCCCTCACTGCCTATGCCAGATATACCCAGCACTGGGGCAGAGTGAGTGAAGGCATCTTCGTAGCTTTCTCCGACTTCCTCTCGGACCCTTCTGCCTACTTGGGTTGAAAGCTTGGGGTAGAGGATGGCTTCCACAGCCGCAGGAAGTGCTGCTCGTGATATCACACTTCTTTCCTGTGGTCATGCTCCCTGATCTCGTGTCTGGTAACAGTTACTGTTTTAGGTCCATGTTTGAAATCAGATACATTCCTTGGAAAGAGGTTACCATTTGCCAGTGCAAACCTAGGATGGTGGATTAAGACCCAGGGAAAAATGAAAACAAGAATGCTGTTGGACAAGATGCATGCATGGCTGCCAACCAAGGGCTGAGAGGTGCCAAGACACTTAACCCACTTCCCTTTGGATTTCTTTTTAACTTTATACATTCCTCTTTTAGTTCCCAACTTACAGGAATTGACCATAGCTTACACCATCTTATACCCCACATAGCAATCAGCCTGTTACCTTGAAACAGACTTGGGGTTGGGTACACGTGGGTTGATTTCATTTATTCATCTCTTACCTCTCCTCTAATAAATCTCAGATTGATGGAAACTTGTCCTACCCTAACTTGAAAGAGATTCCCAAACCCTTGCTGATAAAGGAATTATTTTGATCTACCCTAAGTCTTCCTTATTGCAGTAGGAGCCAGTTTATCCTTTTACTGTAAAGATGAGTAGGATTAAAGCTGCTCAGAGCCAAGTTCTGGCAGTGCCAAGCTTCCCCTGGGCACAGAGCTGGGGTGTGTGAGTTACAGCTGGCAATGCAGACTCCCACTGATGTTGGCCTTGAGCTCAGGAGTGTTGTCAACTAAACAGATTTTCTTAGAATTAGGAATGTGATTCGGGGGCAATAGAGAAGTCAGAATGTCCATCTCAAGCAAAGGATTAAATCGTGCAACTGTAACATTTTCTTTCTCCCTTTCTTTATAACGAATAACCCACAGAAGAATATTGGTAATGTGTCCAATTAAAGATTTTAGAAGTCCAACAAGTAAACACCTAGATGATACAACTGTATGTGCGCAAATGATCTTAAAATATAAGAAACATAAAGCCAGCCTTCTTGCTGGTAGTTTGTGATAAGCAAACATCTAGCCAAACTTGCGCTCTCACTAATGAATGTGACAGAGGTTGAAACTGTGCCCTGACTTGGTCTGAAAGCTCCATAGCAATATCCTTGTGTTTGGTTGGCAGGACGAGACAGGAGCCTATCTGATTGACAGGGACCCCACCTACTTTGGTCCTATCCTAAACTACCTCCGCCATGGGAAGCTCATCATTACGAAGGAGTTGGCAGAAGAAGGTAAGAACAGTGTTTGAACTGGCCATTTTAAAAATTCAGGTCGAATTTGTTTCACAAATTTGACTTTTGTTTGAAACTTACATGGAGCTCGTGCAAGTGGAGTAAATGTGAGCAGGGAGCCTACAGTCCCCTTGTGTCGTATGAGGGAGTATTGTTTCCGGGAGCCACATCGGGCTCGGTTTAGCCTCCTTAACAAGAAGGAAAGTAGGTAGCTCAGCTTTGCTGACAGCTTCGGCAGTTTTTCTGAACCTGCAGAATTGTCAGGATCCCTTTTTACTTTTACTTATGTGCTAGCAGTGAATGTCCATAGCCTGAAGCAACACATCTCTCTGACATTCAGTTATTTATATTTTCAATTTCAGTTTGAACTTGCAGCTGTGAAAAAGTAATAAAGGCTTGGCCTCATTTCTTTTAAGACTGGTCTCATGCCTCCTTATAAATTTTTGCAGCTGACCTAATTCATTCTCCAGTCTATTGTCAGGTGCCTCATCAGTGGCCTCATCTTTTTGGTTTTTAGGGCATTTGAACTGTAACGGGGTGTAGACATCTTTCTAAAAGCCTGGGCTCGGTCTCACCGAAGCCATTCAGTGGAAGATTGGGGCCTGTCTCTGAATCCAGGGCACCCTGACCTGGGACTGTTTGCTCTAAGAACGCTGTAATGGCTGCGCTGGTTAATTAAGAGGCTGCAAACACCTCTGTTTCAACCAGTAAAAAGGGGACTCGCTCTCTTTTTAATGCTCTCTCTCTTTTAAAAAAAAAAAACATTTGAAATGCATACAAAAGTAATGGGACTAGTACCAGAAGTTCCGTGCACCCACCATCCAGCCTCAACAATGATCAACTCATGGGTAATCTTATTTCTTAAAAAGAGGAATCTTAAGCATCTTTTTCTAATGCCTTTTTAAAAACTTATTTGAAATAATTTCAAACTTAGAGAAAAGGACAAGAATAGTATGAAGAACTCTCCTTACCCAAATTCACCAACTTTTAAAATTTTTTTTGTCATATTTACATTATTATTCATTCATTTTCTCTCTCCTCCTGCTTCCCTCTATCCCCCCGTTTTTATTTCTGAACTATTTGAGAATAGATTTGAGACTTTGCCCCTTAATACTTCAATGTGTATTTCCCAAGAACAAGGATATTCTCTTACATAACCACAGTACAGTTATCAAATTGAGGAAATTTAATATTGACAAATACTTTTATCTATAGCTTATATTCCAGTTATGTCAACTATTTCCATAATGGCCTTTGTAGCAAATTTTCTTCCTGATCCCAGATCCCAGATCCCACTTAGTTGTCCTGTCTAGGACTTTTGATTTTGTTCAGCATGGGATTTTTTCCATGATTGCCTTTTATGTTGTTCAAACAATAAGCATCCTGTTAAATTTGGTCCATGTATATTTACACATGTAACCCACCCCCAGTCATTTTTAGGACAAATTACAAGCTCAGGTAAAAATTGCAAGCTCAGGAGATGTCCAACGTGACTGGTTCCAGGAACTAAGTCACACATGGGAAAGGTATCCTGCAGCAAATGGCAGTTGCAGGGAGAGTCAGGGAAGGTGCCAGGTGGAAAACAGTAGGGGTGAAACAGGGCAGACCCTGGTGCTTGACTCATTTCCTTGGGAAAAAGGTAGTGAGTACACCCTAAACAGCAGAGAAACATTTCCCACGCTGAGGGGAGAGAGACTAGACTTGCATTTGAAAAATGCAGTTTTTAGCAAGCCGGCAAACTCCAGCCTTTCTTGCTGGTCTCTGGGGAATCCACATACATCTCTGACTACAGTTTGCTCTTTGTTCTAGGTGTGCTGGAAGAGGCGGAGTTTTACAACATCGCATCTCTTGTGCGACTGGTTAAGGAAAGGATACGGGACAATGAGAACAGAACTTCACAAGTAATGGGTTTTGAACTTTTAAGGGAAAAGTATCTCAGTGGCTCTCTCTGTCCATGTGTCTGGGTGTGACTTGGAAAGGATGATGCACCCTCAGAGCCAGAGGTCTGTGTAGGAACACTGTCCATCTGCCAGGCAGACAGCGCACACTCCACCAGACTTGTTCAGAACAAGGAAATAGAGAAGAAGAAATAACAAAGAAAACAAACCAGCCTCTTGGCCCTTTAGAATGGGGAGGCGGTGGCTGCTCACCGTATGGCAGTGGGAGGAGCCCGCAGCACTTTAGGTCCAAAACCTGTTCTTTCTGACAGAGTATCGGTCTCCCTCCAATAAAGTCCAGGCCGGGCCTTGCTTGCACCTGTTGGCTGCTCTTTATTAGGACCAGACTTTAACATGTGACCACGTCACATCTGGCTCCTGCCAGCCACTTGAAACCAGTCTCATGGTGTAGACTTCCGAAGCTGCTTGTGATTCGTGCTTCTGAGAAAATAATATCAAGCTTCTCTTTTTTATTACGAAGTCCGGATTTTGATATGAACTCGGCATATATAATGACAAAAATGAAACACAATTTGCCACCTAGTTTGAAAAGGGAAGACAACGGGGCACACTCCGCTCATGTCACATCACATCCCCCATCATGTGTCTTAAGTGGCCACAGTAGCTTCTGTTAGGCCCTTGGGATTCTAAGACTACTAGGAGAAGTTCCGTGCCCTCAAGAAGCTTGAAGTCTGGCAGGAAAAACAGACACTCCCTTTCATGTATTTGGGCTCTGTTTTAAAAAAACACAACTACAGTCACAGGGCAGGGTCAGACTCCACTGTGACCATCTGTCTTGTAGCATGACTTGCCTCTGATCCCATCAGATACTGCTGGAGGTGCTTTCTTGAGATTTAATCTATTGTGACGTAGAATTTTCCTGTGATTAAGAGGAAGGCAGTACGGTTCTTTTCCAAAGTAAAAAATAGTTTCTTGCTTTTTCTGTGTTAGACTTCATATATCAAAGTGTCCTGGCGCTAAATGGAATTATCTGGTTGAATAACTGACACGTAATGATAAAAAATGAACTCTCTTACCACTTTATCTCCAGCACTTTGCAAAGAAGGAAAGAAAGGCTTATTCATTTAGCTCTCTTTCATCTGGCTGAGGGCTGAAAGACTCCTTTTATGTTCAAAGATGCATCTGTAGTTGGTTTGCAGATTACCATATGAAATATGATGTAGTGTCGCCAATCTTTTTGCCATCTCATTATATTTACATGGCATCTTTCATTATTGTAGATATTTAATAGCTTAGATATTCTGAAGATCTAGCCTTGTCCTCAATTTTCCACATTCCAAAAAAGCTTTTGATTTCTAAGTATAAATTTTGATGATACCATGAATTACGCAATTTGAAACTATTCAAATCATAATACCTGAACATTCCGGTTCTTTGCCATTGGCTCATTCCTTGAGGGCATCCTAAGATTTCTATTTGATGACAGCAATCAAGTTACTGAGCCCTCTAAATTCTGAAAGCTTGTGGATTTATATACCCCGTTGGAAGATTTTTATTCTAGGCATGTCAGGACCTTTTTGATGTTAATTGATCTTTTCATCTGTCCTTTTTATTTAGTGAAATTCTAAGCAGTGATTTGAGGTTGTTCAAAGATGCCCTCTTTTGCTCTTGTTGCACGTGGCTCTCAGGTGAAGTTGGCCGTGTGTGGATTTCCATGGCTGTCCCTTCAAACACTTTACCTCCTTTACCTCGTCTCTGTTTAAAGGAGACCCACAGGGCAGACATTCGGGCTAAGCCCAAGGTATGGGGTCCTACCCCACCGTTTTTTAGTGATCTCTCTTTTGGTGGCTGCCACCATTCTACTACTTTGCTGTCTCTGAGATTATTTTTTGCTAGGTGATTAATCTTGGTGCATTTGAGAACACCAGTGATTTACGTTGGAAGAGAAAAATAAAAAAGAGGCACTGTAGATGTCTGAAATACCTGGTACTTTGACACCTGTGGCCAATGTCAGATCCTCTGATGCTCTGAGTTTTGTAATGTAAAACACCTGGTTCTTTCCAAAGTGTGTCGTTAGAGTCGATTCAGATCTTTAGAAGATTTGTCCTATATTTGGTGTGGAAGGAAGTTTTAAAAATATCTTTGTACCTTGGTTAATGAAAGCTACAGCTCATTTAGAAGGAGGAAGCATAAGAGAAAGAATGTAGCATTGTCAGTCCGACTTGGGTTCAAGTCCTAGCTCTACCTCCAGTCCGCATCATGGCTCCACAGCTGGGGCAGGACACCGTACTCTGGCACCAGTGCCCCACACGCAGTAGGGAACCATGACCTGCCTTTCAGGACTGCAGTGAGATGAGAGGAAAAGGCTCGGAGCTCTCCA